AGATTTTAAGCCCCCTCTCCCACAAATCCACCATAAGCCTACCAGGCAGTGGCAGGAAGAGATTATTTTCTTCAGCATCTTTTTACTGATGTGGCAAATGCACTGTAGAGTGGAAGCGCAGGATCCAGCAGGATCCCGGATAAAAGATAACAGGGCTCGGCAGCTGTCCAGCCACTACTTCGCAGCATGTCCACTAGACTATCACAACCCCCACCCAACTTCTGAAAGGGGATGTCAGCATCCAGCATGACCTTTGGTGGGCCCTCTAGGCACCTACACCACTATCCAGCCAACATAAAGTTGGAATTAGCTTCATTTTTTAAATAAGGGACAAACAGCCACAAGTGCAAACTTGTATTTGCACTAAACACATTCACTTTTGTACAGGATGCATTTTAAATGTATGCAGAAACCAGGGCAATCAGCCAAATACAAATGTCCTTTTCTGAGCTCAGCTTTTCAAAAAACTAATTTAGACAGAAAAACATAAATGGATTTTTTTTTTTTTAAATCACCGCAGTAATCTTGCTTCCTCAGAATGGAACTAATTAAGGCAGAAAATCCCTTTTTCTCAGCTCTTTTTTAGAATATCTTCCTTGGGGATAATTGAGTTGGGATTGCGAGCCATATTTACAAATTCTCTATCTTTTTTCTTTTCAAAAGGAGGTCTTCATGCTTCATTTTTTTCTTTCTTTGCTCAAGATATTTCAGCTTGCAGAAGTGAGCAAATCACTCATTTAATTGGTACCATGTGTTGCTCATTAACATTATTGTATCACTTTTCAGTTGTGTTTAAATGAACAGTCCATGCATTTTATAGAAGTGCATGAAGTTTCGAATTTAAAAGATAGATAAGAAGATAGATGGATGATAGATAGCATTAGACCAATGGGCTATCAGATGCATTTCCTTTTCTTGAAAGAAACTCAAGATGTATCAGGGCACATATTCAAACTTGGGCACTTAGATTAAAATGAAATGCACACTCAGGAAAAGAACAGACAATATTAGAGATGTTTATTTGGCTCACAAGACACTGCAGTGAATACCTCTGTTTAAATCCAGGTATCCAGCCATTTGGAGCAGGGTTCCGGAGCAGCCCTCACCTTTACAGGCACAGGCATGCGCACACCTAAATATACCCCAGTCACCCTGCTCCAAATAGCAGCTTCCTCACTGCTAGCAGCAGAAGGGGAAGGATGCTCTGTAGGCAGCAGTGGTGGGCACCTTACCCTAGGGCTCAGAGGAAAGGCCTTGTGCGCGCTATTACTCAGAACAGTGGTTCCCAACTTTTTCATTTGTGTACCCTTGGCAGCCCATTTCCATAAACTGCACCCTTCATATTAGCAAAATATACACAAGCACTGGCATGACAACACTCAGCGTTTGGGAAGCAGAGGAGAGCAAATGCTGAGCCTGTGAGAGGTGCATGCGCACTGTACTGGCATGTTCTTCCCACCATTTGCCTAAAGGACAAAGCAAGGGAACAGGGCTTTTCTTGGAGAAAACCCACTCCATCTCTCATAATGTTCAACTGATTTCAGAACTTCTGACTTGCAACTTGCCTTTTGACGCATGTGCCTTTTCTGCCATTATGCTATTTTTTCCAGGTACCCCTAAATGTCTTGGTTCATGCCTCTGGGGGTATACAAACCCCATGTGAGAAATCACTGATTTAGCGAGTAACTATAGAATTAGAATGCTTCCTTCAGATTATTTACTATATTAACCTAGTTACTTTTTAAAGGAAGCTTAGAGTTTATGATTTTTAGGAAATTGAAAAATATACAATTTAAATGTTTTAAAATCCACGCATTTTCTCCATTCTCAGCTCTATGAAAGCCTAGAATCGACCATTACTACAAGGAAAACATGCCCTTCAGAGTTATTAAGCAGTATCAACTATTTGGCAGAGTAATGCTGAGGAGGATCTGGGGACAACTGAGGTGGCAGAGTTGATACTTCCAAAGCCTGCTCATCAGCCATTTTCTTCTGCCCCTCCCATTGCCTCCAGTGAAGGGAGGGAGGGAAGGAAGGAATTTACTATGGGGTCAACAGAAGTGGAAAACTTCTAAAATGCCCAATAAAAAAGAGCCATAGTCTCAGGTGGCTGAAAAAATGTGTGGTTTTATTCCAATACATTTCAGCCCTGAATGATATATATGCACCTTCTTCAAGGGTCAGTAAAACTACCAGCAGGATCTCTGAGAAAAAGTAGTTTCCAAGAAGAATCCTGGAGACTATGTTTTTCAAAAATCTCTACAGGCGCTTCTAGAAATACCAGCCTGTGACAAAGACCCATATATATTATTCAGGGCTAAAACATGCAGGGCTTCTTCCTGAAATAAACAACATATTTTTTCAGCATCCTTAATCTTTATATTCTATTTGCCAGGTGCAAGAGTAATATAATTTGAGGACATGTTGGCAGAATGAGGGATGGTGCCTAGGATTCCGCAGATCCTTGGCCATCTCTGCATGCTCCTTTTTGGTTCTATTATCTGCAGCTCCCCAAGGAGGATTTGCATAGGAAGACCTCTTTTTCCACCCACAGAGAGTAAGATTCACCATATGCTATGGCCGCAGGGCCTCCTGCTGAGGACCATAAGATCACACCCTTTTTCTTATATATATGCTAGAACAAGAGCGTGCACAGTATCATTACAACTACTTGCTGAAACTGCCAATTGAACAACCTTCTCTGCTCTAAAGAAGTAATGCATACTGTCTGTAGAAGAGGGCAATCTTTTTGAAAAGAAATTCCCATGGTTATTCCATATATTTGCTGCAGAAACCTTAAGTTTACAAGCTTCAGCTTTAACTACATTTTTTGATAATGACCAAGAATTACACAGTCCTTGAGGGTGCTTTCTTTGTAGCTATGCTAACTGCTCTGCACCACTTTGCATGTCCTTTTGTATAGAAAGGTGGGATATAAATTCTGAAAATAAACCAGTATCTTTAACATGTGCTTGTGTGGAAACGAATAGCTGAACAGTGGCCATATGGAGAACGTTGAACATAAGTTCATGTATAAGAAGTGACATGTGGGATTAGGCTGCACTCGATATGTCCAATAGAATTTTGGGTGTCTGAACCTGTCATACATGTGCGATTTGCCACACCTGCCACGAGGGCTATGCTGAGCCGAGCCTCAGCTCAAACAGCTGTGCTGTCACAGCTCACAACACAATGAATGCTTAATGTTGCGGCACATGCAAATTCGACATTCATTCAGTCAACTTGCCTGGTGCCCGTTTCATTCTTGTATGTTGAATTTTTATTGCTCACGCTCTCCTGAAATTATCCGTAATTAAATAAGCCACAAAAATAAGGACATACCACACTTTATTTCTTATTAAATCTGTTTTCTCTAGAGGACTTTGGCCCAGTATTTCATGACTGGATGATATTTGAAGTCACTGTGTGGCAGGATCATTTCTTTATCTTTGGCTAGCTCTGCAGTACTGTCCTTCTGCAGGTTGGTACTGTAGCTTGTAGTCAGTACTCAATGCTGCTTGCTTTTCCTTATTGGGAGTACACGTGGGGGCCAATTTTAATACCTGCTTGTCTGCATGTAGGCACATCACACAGGGGGGCTAACATTTGAAAACTCCTTAGCAATGGCAGGAGCTCTAATGTGTGCGACGTTTCATACTAGCACAAGAAGAATACTTTTTAAAAAATCAGCTTTCACATGGTGGCTGCAATTTTAAAAAGGCTCTTAACACTTCACTTGCTTAAAAGCAGCATAGCTCATTTATATTACCATGGCAAAGGCATGCAATTGAATTGCGCAAGCAAAATGCAAAAAATAAAACGAAACCTCGCAATCCCCAGTAGCAGACTTTTAAAGCAGAACGTGAAAAGATAAGGGGCTGAATCCTGACAATCCATGAGAGCACCTCTGCCATGGGATTCTCACCACTGGCAGTGAGGAAAGAGGGTTCACCAATTCCTCCTTCCCCAATAGCCCCCTTTACAGCCCCAGAGCTGCTATAGAGACTTGGGGAAGCCACTGAACAGTGCAGGAAATGAAGCTGGTCCTCAGGGAAAGAAGAAATGGGCAAAAACACCCTTCCTGTTTGCTCTGCTGGGCCACCTTTGCTGGATTTCTGTCCAGTCCATGAAGGGGAGGAACCCTTCTGTTCACTCAAGGGGAAGTCTGGATCCAACACATTTTAAATGCATATTGCCTGAATTTCAGAAAGCTGCTTCCAGCCATCAGCTTGTCCATCCTGCCTCCTGCCCCATCAAACAATAACAGATGAACTAATTTAGCTCCACTGAAACCAAGAGGCCTGTATTTCAGATATGTGTAATCATTTATACCCAACCACTGATGCACAGTGTTTTTTCGATACTATTTTGTTTGTTGCAGTTAAAGAGTTGAGCCAATTTGCTATTCCTCATTTCCTCCTCCAGATTATTTGGAGAGATGTAACACATGCATTAAAGTTCAGTGTTTATTCACTAACAATGATTATTATTACCAGTGCAGTGTATCTAGATCTAATCAAGTTAGCATCACAAAAGGCTCATTCGAAATAAATAATAATTATTAATAAGAATTTATTAGTTACGGCACAATGGTAGGGCCCAACCCCATGCATAGACAGAAACAAGTCCTTCGACTCCCATCATGGCGACTGGGAATCACTGGGGGCTATCAGGCTTTTTTCTGTCTTAACCTGCATAGGATTTTGCCTAGTGTAGTCGGTGGGGAAAGCCTATTAATCTAAGTAGAAATCTATAATAAATGCAACTTAAAGAAGCTTTATAACAACTTAAGCCTATGAAGCAATACTTTCAAGGCATAAAAATATGAACTATGAGTTAAATCCTGTAGTTAGGAATTACGCACATTATAAGAGTTACACTTTTCTCTATTATAAAAGCACCCTTCCCTTCCCTTTCTTGGAATAGCCCGCACATTTAGCCCTTTCATGCTTGTTTACCTTTTCAGAGAAGTCCTTTGGCCCTAGTTCAGGTAAACTTACCGGTCAGGTATTCAAGAACAGCAGCCATATACACTGGTGCACCGACCCCAATTCTGTACTTCGGGTGACCTTTCTTTATATAACGTAGCATTCGTCCAACAGGGAATATGACCCCAGCTTTTGCTGAGCGAGAGGTCTTCGTTGACTTTTTCTTCCCACCCCTGCTGGACATTTTCCCTGAAGTGGATCTGGGCCAACACCCTAGAAACAAAGGGAAGGGGTAAGTTTGCAGATAAGGTCTCTAACAGCTACTTTCAGTAAATGACACCATCACAGCCCTTTAAAGCATACATGACAAAATCGTCATGGGACAAGGATTTCTGAATGCACTGATTACGCTCTGAAGGCACATAAGGGATCGCCCAGGCTTAAGCTAAGCAGGTCTGTGGCTGACCTGAGCTTGCAGGGGAGAGCACCTGGGAACTGCATGTTGCCACCTCAAGTTCCACAATGGGAGAAAGGTGGGATATCATGCAATACATAAAGACATAAATGGAATACGTGGCATGGAATGCTGCAGGATTATTCCCAAAGTCAGAGCTTATGTCAGAGGCAGTAAACTGCAAAGTACTAAGCACTATCAATGGTAAGGCTGGCAAACTAAGGAACGGTAATCGGAGGCTGGCAGGGGGCACAGAATTGGCCTTCCTGATTATCCCAGCATTTTTTTAACAGTAGGAAGATGGACTGGAATACATGTAGACAATGCCTGGATGAAACCCCTGAAGCCAAAGGTGGGATGGGACTATTGGAGTGGGCAGCTGACCCTCCAGTCCCAACTTAGAGAAGCAGAGGCCTGCGTCCAACCCTGAATGGGACATTTCGCCTGCCCAGCTGCATGCCCAGCAAATTTGCTCAGGAGGGCTGCCGAACAGATGTTCACTAGCAAGCAGAAGTTCACTAGTTCATTTTAGTTCATTAAACTAAAATCAGTTGTTCAAGCAAAATGTGCTAAATCCGTGTTGTATGATGATTTAACTCTGGTTGCTTTCAGATAGACGTTGATTTATAACATTCATTCCGTATGTACTAGATTTTTACAGAGCTTTCATCTTGCATTTTATCCTCAAAATAACTCTGTGGAGCTCAAACAGCTCTCCCAAACTGAATGGAGGCTTTGGACTACAACTACTATCAGCCCCAGCCAGCACAGACAATGGTAAGAGATGAGTTGCAGTCAAAAACATCTGGAGGGCACTAAATTAGGTAAATCTAGACTAGGAGGTAGCAGCTATGCCAATGCCACTCAGCAGGCTTTACCTGGCTGAGTCCCAGGTCTTTGTCTGGTTCTCTAACCAGTATACCGTATTCACAGCCACAAATACATGAAAAGCAAATAACGTGTTTGCCTGACAAAAACCAGCAAATTATTAAGCTGTACACTGAAAGTGTATCATGGGGTTAAAACTAAGAGTACAGTGACTAGAGTCATAGAAGGAAAAAATACAAAAAGGCTATCTAGTCTAACCCTCCATTCAAAAAACAGATCGGCCAAATAGTTTCCTACGTAAGAGAGCGTGCAATGTGCCGTAAGGAGATGGATGTTAGTTCCACATGACTCATTCACTGACAACAGATGTTTCCACCAAAAGCAAGGACGCTAATCAAACTGATCTTGGGAAAAAAGAAATCCTTTCCCATACCTGTTACATTGTTGCATGCAATTTACATGATTTGAAATTTTATTTATTTATTTAAGATATTTGTATGATATTTGTATGCCGTCTTTTGCGAGAGCCTCAGGACAGCTTGCACAAATAAAAAAATACATAAATAAATTCACTGGCATTAAGATAGAGGGCCACTACAGTTGTTGAATATAGTTAGAAAATGCAAAAAACAGACAGAGAAATTTGGCTTTTGAACAGCACAGTTGTGTGCATATTTGTTCAGAAACAGGTTTCATTGTTTGCAATGGAACTTAACTCCTAGGGCAGTGTACCCAGCAATGTAGCCTAAATGTTCATATATAAAATTGCCTTTTTAAAAAAGAACACAACCCCAAACATAATTAACACAGGTTTTTTAAAAAGACAAGTTTAAAAACCCAGAACAACCTTAATGATGCACTACTATTTATTCTTGGAGATGTGTGGACCTTGCTAAATCAATTCTGTCTGAAGTTCATAGATCGTCAGGCATCTTTCATTCAGCCATCCGCTCACTGATGGAATCACACATATTTAGGGGTAGGTAAGAGTTCTGTTCCACTTATGCAAGTTTGCACTGATGCTAATGTGAATTTTTGCAAATCCTCCTAACAGGTTAAAAGGGGGTCCACAAGTCAGCAAAATTAGGATGGATCTACTATAAAATCAGTAGGTTAGAGTCACATAAATCTGAACTGGTCTTAATCCAGTACAGATTTCTCTAACATCCCTACTCATGTCTATTCCAGCTTACAGGTATCCTTAAAAAGGTGTTTTTTGAATGTGGGAGAAATTGGGAGAAAGAATGTGCAGTAACAATTATCTCTTATCATACCTCAACTCTCTACTACATCTGACAAAATTAACTTCCTTTTTGTAAATAAAAGACAAAATTCATTATTTGGCAACACTCTATATTGTTCCAACTGATAAACTTTCCTTGCTAATTTTTAAAATGGATAATTCTCTACTGCTAGATATGCCTGGAATTGTGACTCTGCACCAGCACCTTTCCTGAATATGTTCCAGTTGTACAAGAATGTTATTTATTACAGGCAGAATTACTCCCAGACTTGTCCTTTCCGCTGATGGGTGAATTATCTTGTTTACTGTACTGACAACTGTATCCAAACTGAGCATTTTGAGAAAATCCTGTAAAGGTCAACCATGAGGACTAGTCCTAATTGTGAAGGGCTAAGCATCATGAGGGAAAAGCCCTTTGCACATGCTCAGAGGTGTTCCAGTCTTTATTATACCTTTCCATGTTATAGGGCTAAACTGTGAAACTAGATTCCAAGGCATGCAAAAGTGCCATTACATCCATTTATCTCTTTGGAAAGGATGGAACACTGCAACTACAACCTCCTGAGATATGAAATTGTGGAATTCATCTAGCACCACCACCACCCCCATGCTGTTTTATTCTGTTCCCCTGCAGGAGTTTCATAAACTTCAATCCGGCAACTTCCTTCCACAAACTTAATTGGACTTGACACCCGTGAATGATGGCCAACAATTGCATGTTAATTTACTGCCACACACAAATCTATCGCTGATAGTTCTGCTGAGGATCTGTCATTTTTAACTTGTGTTTTTGTAAGAGTATAGGCTTTAAATTAAAAATGTTAAAAAGCTCCATGGAGAGGGGTGGTTTACAAGCTCAGAAACTGTTGCTCTTCTGGGAGCTGGTGGTTTAGAAAACTAGTCCAAATTCCTAAACTTTTGATTTCCTGTAAGCCAAGCCTGTAGCAGCTTTTTCCTTCACCCCTACAGAGATAGACAGTTTTATAAACAATGTTTTATAAGCCTAAGGAAAACCCAATGGCATATATTAGCCATAGGAAAACCTCCTTCTGACCCAAAGCTGTCCTGACACAAAGGGGTGCCTTTTTGCAGTGATTTTTCCTCTCTTCTCAAAACATTTCCCCTCCTTGCTGTTATTAAATCATCATGTCTAGCTTTTGCATTCTTGTTGCTCATTCTGTCCATTAGCTGTTTGCCCCCACCTTGTTGCAATTCTTTTGCTTCTGCGCGCTCACCCTTAGAAACCCAAACCTATCACTATATGTTAGACATTTCAGACTGCAAAAGACTGACTGACTTGCAAAAGAAGAAAAGCAAGCTCAACCAGCCCTACTCAGACATTTTGCAATGCCTGTAATTCTGTGCTTTCTAATCTGTGCTGACATGCCATTCAGGCTTTTGAGGGCACAATCCTATGCATGTTTAGACAAAAAAAGGTCTACAACTCCCTTGCTGGCTGGGGAATGCTGGGAGTTGTAGGACTTTTTTGTCTAAATATGCAAAGGAATGCATCCTGAATAAACTCTGGGTATTCTGTTTGTTCTTAGTATTCAATGAGTCAGTTTTCAATTGCAATTCTAATATGAATTCCTAACTGAATTTGTTCTTTTCTCCAATGATCTGGTTAACTTCTGATAGGAGATGGAAAGTCTTCTTAAATAGGAGATGAGAGGGAAAATCTTATATCTTGTGAACAGCAACAGTGGTACCTTGGCTCACGAACTTAATCTGTTCCAGGACTCTGGTCGTGACCCAACTTGGTCGCGAGCCAAGTTAAATTTCCTCATAAGGTTCAATGTAAATAAGGTTAATCCGTTCTGTAACCATTTTTTAAATCAGAAAAATGTGAAGTAAAGTGACAACAACAAAGATCGTGGCCATCTCCCCCCCCCACACACCCCAAGCACAAGCGCGGCCATCTCCCCGCCCCCCCCCCCAGAACGACCAAGATTGCGCCTGCACGTTATCCCTGCACGTGCCCGTCATCCCTGCAGGCGTCTGTCATCCCAGTGCGCTGGGGGTGGGGGGGGGGAGAGATGGGCGTGATCGCGGGTGCACTGGGGCGGGAGAGATGGGCGCAAACGGTTCACTGGGGTGGGGAGATGGCCTCGATCGCAGTTCCGTTCATGCAGGGAAGGTGTGTCTGATCAGAGGCGTGCTCCTGCAGGAAAGACAGGCAGAATCTCAGCCATCTGCCCCGTGGCTCGGCTTTGCTGCTCCTGTCTTTCCTGCAGCAGCGCGCCTCTGATCATGGATGCCTTCGCTGCACGAAAGCAACTGCGATCTGTGATCAGAGGCGCGCAGCTGCACGAATGACAAACGGATTCTCGGCAATCTCTCCTGTGGCTCTGCTTTGCTGCACCTGTCTTTCCTGCAGCAGCGCGCCTCTGATCACGGATGCCTTCCCAGCACGAATGGAACTGCGATCGTGGCCATCTCCCCACCGGGGGAGTGGGGGAGATGGCTGCGATCTTGGTCGCCACCCAAAGCGGTGTTCGCAACCCAAGTAAAAATTTGTCAGTAATTTTTGTTTGTGACCCAATTTTTTCCTGAGCCAAGGTGTTCGTGAGCCGAGGTACCACTGCATATTAGTTTTGACACACCACATGGGTGCAATGGAACTGACTCTACCTGCGGGAGAAAAGGCCATGCAAAATCATGTTTGAGAAGATAATGGAAACGATCAAATGTTTCTTTCAAGATTCTTCCTATGTTGCATTCTAAGTGTATGTATTTAGAAACAGGGAC